AATTGTGGTCTTCTAATCTAATGAGGACTCGAGAGGTTGGCATGATTAGGAGATAGACTCAGACTTATCAGATTACTCTTGTACAGAAGCTATTCTAATTGAAATACAAGAGTAATAGAATTCCTAATCCTATATGGATTGAACAAACCACTCCTAATGCAAACAGATTACTCGACAGCTCCTTGATGGGCAAGGCTTTCGAGTAATGCATCTATATAAAGAGGTCCCTTCTCTAGCAACAAGATACGCTCAATTCAGCTCTCACCCCATCTAGAGAAATAGCCTACGGTGTTGCATAGAGAAGAAGATCCTCTCAGAAGCTAAGCCGATCCCTTCAGAAATCAAGATGTCTGAACAAGGTTAGTGTTAAGTTATAAAGACCTAGTATAGTTTTACAAGATCTTGATCGTACACGTGGCATCTTATTTTATGACATTGTCAGGAACTTTTTTTAGTGCTCTATGTATGTCTACATTTTTTTTTGGTTGGTTCAAAATGTATGTATACAGTTGAAAGGCAAACCTGGTATGAATAAAATAGTGTCGTAGTTTTAGGATAATAATGAAGGAAGTTGAGGTTTCACTCCAAAATCAATTGGTAATGGGGGAGTAGTTTAACTCCTTATAGCTCTTGCAACGTTTTTTAAATTTCCAATGTGAGACTATTTACCTTAAAATTCTCACAAATGAACGTCAAAGTTGCAGTTTTGTACGATAGAGTTTGAGAAAAACAGACATATTAAACTCATCCAGCCAAAAATGATGAAAAGATAAATTGTATGCTCTCATTAAGCCAACAATAATCTTATAAATTTTCTACAATCCAAATCTCACAAGCTGCATTTTCTCTCTAGAGCAGAATTGGAGCCACAATTTGTTCAACAGAGAAATCCACATCTTCGTTTAGCCCTCATCTTCCTCATTTGAAATCCACATTTGACATGGGGTTTCACAGTCACTGTTTTTATATATTATATATTTGATATTAGGGAGGTGAGAATCGGATCTATAACTTCGGATACATGAATAAAAATTCTTAACCATTTGAGTTACTATCAGTTATTTTAGTATAGTTACCAGATGGACTTTAGGTAATTTTAATTAGAGAAGTTGAGTCCAATTCGACCCACCAATTCGTTTCAGAGATGCAAGTGGCCCCATTTTAGACGGCAAAAAGAAAAAAAGGAATTAAGTGCATTAATTCCCTTTTAAAAAAACGATAAAAAGGAATTTGTCCTGTTTAAGTCTTCTTTTGATTAAGACTATCATTATCCTCCGAACTTGAAACTTGAACTGAACTGAACTCTATCTTGTCTGAAATGGAGGAAATTCAGCACAAGTACATAACCGTACAAGGCCTAAAGCTCCACGTAGCCGACATCGGAACAGGTCAGAAACCATCCACCAACATACTTTGTCCTTACGGTACACCGTATTCATTCTTCATCAAATGATCGATCGAACGCCGCCGTCGTTGGACTTGGTGGTGCTTTCTCTCTTTTGTGTTACAGGTTCCAACGTGGTCGTGTTCCTGCACGGCTTCCCGGAGATTTGGTACTCGTGGCGGCACCAGATGATTGCTCTGGCCCGCGCCGGCTTCCGGGCCATCGCGCCCGACTACCGTGGATACGGACTCTCCGACCGGCCTCCCCAACCCGATAAGACCTCCTACCGTGACCTTAACAGTGACCTCCTTGGAATTCTTGATTCCCTTGCTATTCCTAAGGTACCAACTTCATTATCTCTCTCTCTCTCTCTCTCTCTCTCTCTCTCTTACGTTTTGCAGATATATTTGTTAGGATCTCGTATTCTTTTTAATATTGCCTAAACATATCAGCCAAATTATGCACTGAGCATAAGATAATTGATTGCCTGTTCAGATGCAATGTAACACTTCGGTCTGCTCACTCATAAAATTTACACAGGTTTTTCTCATCGCAAAAGATTTTGGAGCTTTGGCCAGCATATACATTTGCTCTTCTACACCCCGAGAGGGTCTTGGGAGTTGTGACAATGGGAGTGCCGTACATGCCGCCAGGCCCTCGTGCATTCGAGAAACTCCTTCCTGAAGGTTTCTACATTTCAAGATGGCAGGTGTTGTGTGCATTTAGTTGGTCTTGGTTATCTGTTCAGTGTCTGCACAAGCACGACTTGCTTGAGAGTTTGCAACTAACTGTTACCTCTATTGTAGGAGCCTGGCCGGGCAGAGGCTGATTTTGGGCGACTTGATGCGAAAACAGTTGTCCGGAATGTTTACATCCTGTTCTCCAAAAGTGAAATAGGAGGAAGATCTTGCAGCATACGGAGCTTTGTATGAGAAATCGGGCTTTCAAACTGCACTGCAAGTTCCATATAGGTAATGCAATTGATAATAGATTCACTTATGAGTGACCGAAGGGCTCTTGAAAGTAGTTTATTTATGCTAATTTGACCGAGTTGTAAGTACATACTTGTTATTGACAGGGCACTTAGAGAAGACCCCGGCATAACGGATCCAAATGTTAAAGCTCCGGCGCTTTTCATAATGGGAGGCAAGGATTATGTAAACAAGTTTCCAGGGATGGAGGATTATATAAACAGTGGAAAGGTGAAACAATTCGTCCCCAATTTGGAGATTGTATTTCTGCCTGAAGGAACGCATTTCGTGCAAGAACAATCACCAGAAGAGGTTAATCAGCTGATCGTCACCTTCCTTGGAAAGCACATTTGATTGGCAAAGAAGAAGTATTATCCATGGCTTTGCAGAGGTCTATGTGAAACCTTTGGGAAAATGATGCAATTGGGTGTAGAATCTTATACATAAAACAAACTTCGGAATTTGTTGTGGCATGTAATGTTTGAATGTTTCTCAAATACTTACAATAAGGCAATGCCATGATACTCATGGTTCCATTTTTCTGTTGTTGGGTGATCACTGTGTGTGAGTTTAAGAGCTTATAATTGCTTGCGGAAAAATATTTAGATTGGCCCATGAGAGAATTCCCGACTTTAAGAAAATGCTAATCACATGGACTATGGACGAAAGTAAGACATTTTCATTAAGCTATCATATTTCGCATACCAGTGTGTCTCTTGCCTGCTCTCGTATGGTGAAAAACTAGAAGGATACAAAAGAATAATAGCATAAAGGAGGGACCAAAAAGAATAACAAATACAAGCAAACAAGCCTACAGTCAGTTCGATAGTTTGCAGCTGAAATCGCAACTTTATGAGTGTCGAGGCCTTGGGTAAACAACAATTCATCTGAAAGGAAAGCAAATCTGTACAGGATTTCCATTTCCGAAGCTCCTCTCATGGGCGTATAAAATTTTGATATGTTAACCTCATGCTTCCGCTATATCAATCAAAAGGTGTTTGATCAGTAACATGTCTATTACTCTGATCTGACGGTCAAGTTCAATGCTTCAAGAATTCTCACTTCTCTCACTTTGGTTCAGAACTTCATCCTCAGGCTTTGATTCAACTTCAAACTGCCTGCACAGAAAGTTAAGAGGTTAGTCTTGTGCCCATGTCTCTCTCAAAGCGTGCTGCTGCTTCTTCTGGCTTTCTACAAGGCTCACAAATGCGCACAGGCGAATCACCTTGCCCGCGTAAAAAACATTCTTTGCTGGGTGCAGCTGTTGCAAAACAAGCCCCCACACCTCCGGCAATGATGCTGAAATTCCACATTGCATATAATCAAGAATCAGAAAAAGACCCAGAGACTAGAAATAAATATCACATTCAATCCTAGAATAACCTGCAAATAAGCTTGAGTTGGATAACAAGTCCTTTATATAATTTCTTTGCACAACACAAACTATAAATCCCCAATAAATTCTTAAACTAAATAAGCATGGGCCTGACAAAATAAACAATCTACGGTTTCCACAAGGTTCAAAATGGAAAGCCACGAAGCTCAGTATCGAAATCAAGGTTGAGTTCACATATAAAATTAAAAAAGCAGAGATTTTGAGGCATGGGTAAGAGCATCTCCGAGGGATATGTCAAATACCAAACATCAAATTTAAATTTGATGGTTGATGTGGCAATTTGACATTTACACAGTTTTACACTCCACCCGATATGTCAAATAAATAATTATTGTAACAGTCAAATCATTCAAGATAAAGAATAAAATAATAAAAAAGGAAAATAATAAATGAAAGTAACAACCAGCTGTCTTTAAAAAATAATAAAATATTCATTTGACGTCTTGCTTTTGGGATGTCAAAAATAACAGCTGAACCTCCAGCCTTCATTCCACATCAGCTTCGACAATTCGGTTGAAGTGAGGTGAGATGTTATTTCTAGCCGTTAAATGTCTATATGGCACTTTTGACATATCGGTTGGAGATGCTCTAATGAAGAAACAAAAGAACTTGTCAAGAACTCATAGATGGGTCAGTGGATCGGAGATGGAGGGAAGGAGAAAAAAAATGAACCTGGCGATTGACGAAGGTGAACTGAGAAGTACATCCCTGACTGTGTGAGGCGTCAACCACCCAAGTATTCCCTCCCAATGATGGCTTTGCCTTCAACCCGATCTTCTCCAACATCTTTTTGCTTTGCTTCACCCAATCAATCAATTCAAATCAAATCCAAGCCAAAAGCTTTATCTGTGATTGAGACGACGACAAATTCATTTTGGGTTTGGGTTAGAAGACGCATCAAAACACTGTCGTTCGACTGTTTGATGCTGTCGACAAACCAACGACTAGTTCGGTGGGAGTCGGACAAGTTTAGTTTTCAACGATAAGGAGGGATATTTTTTATTTTTTATTTTTAATAGAAGGGCCCGCCTAGCGGCTAGGCCGATTTTTCGAAATTTAACCATACAACGTCGGCAGGAGAGTCAGCGCAGGTACATAATAGCGCCAGGCCCTAATCTTACAGGTACATAATAGTGGTTTCAATTAGGCATGCGCATGGTGTCGATATGGCTCCCTCCACTACAAAAATCGAAAATCGAACCAAATAAAATAATTAGTTTGGTTTGGTATCGATTCTGTCCAATTGGTTCCGTTCAATCTAGAGTCATTCCTATTTTCTAACTGTTGAATTAGGCTGATTAATTTGATCCCACAGTTAAGAAATAGGGCCTCACCTAAGGGCCATATATAATGCCATTTTATAGAATTTTTGATTCGATTTAAGCGTGAAACCATTGTTTTGTTAAAATTTTTATAAAAACAAATTAGCCACACTAAAATAGACTCATTTGTAAAAACCTATTTTTCTTTCGGTCAAACTCAATTACAGCTAATACTAACTAACAACACGTGAGCACACACGTGACAGCTTAACTGAATACAAACTAACTAAGGCCCAGTTTGGGATTGCTGTCACTTTTAAAAAAAATTGCTTATGCTGTGCTTTGAAAATAATTAGCTGTAAAGTAAAGCAGCTCTATGTTTGGTAAACAATATTTTTAAAGTGCTGTTAGCACAAAAAGCTATGTAAAAAACGTTTGGTAAATTTTAATATAAAATTGTTGTAACTGTGAATATGTTGGCTGCGCAAATCTCACGGCCAGGTTTTCCGGGCCGAGGGGATGAGCGTTAACACGTGGCTTCCTGCTTTTGGATGTGGTACGGTTGTGCGCGGGCGTGCCAGCACGGTCTACCGTGCGTCGAGGTGTTGGTGTGGATAGAGTGTTTGAGTGGTGCGCCTGTTTGGACTTAACTTCTAATCAAGTGATTGTAGCCGAGAGAGGAACGGTTCTCGGCTGTCAGGTTCACGGCCTGAGCTACAAGGCCGTTTAATGGTGGTGTTGGTGGTGGGTTTCGGGCGGTGCTCCGGCACGCTGCTCAAGGAGCGACGGTCGTATGATATATGGGGTGAATGAAATAGTAACAAAGATGGTGCTCCGGCGCCTTGAAAGTCAAGGGTCGTATGATATGTGCAGTACAGGAAAATATAATTTGCTCCGTGGGAGGCTTTTGTTTGGTGTTTGAACCCTTTGAACATAGTTTGAGCCTTGTATTTATAGGAAGAGCTCTGGAGGAGTAATCGAGGCTGAAAACCTGCATGGTGGAGCCTGACTGTTGCATTCCTAAAAGGACACAAATTAATGTGCAAACAACCAATTAAAAATACCCGCAAGTGCACGAATCTATCGAAGTATAGATTGTATAAGTACGGGGTCGATCCCACGAAGAACTTGTCGGTCCTAGCCGTGGAGACGCATTTATTGCTCTGATGACTGGTGACCTACTTTCTCAAGCTGTAAGAATTCTTGTGAGAATGTCTGCGTCTAATCATTCTGATTCCATTACCAAATTCTGACTCCAGTCACTTCCCACCTTCCCTCATGCATTAAATGTTTATTTGTGATCAGTGGGTTTGCTGCAATAAACAGAGGCATTACTTCATTAAATGAAGCATGGGACCCTGCTGTCACGTGATGATTTTGACTTTACTACCTTTGGCCGTGACTTTGTTTCGGCCTCGGCCTCGGCCTATAATCGAGGCTGAGATGATCATGCCTTAGCAATTTCTCCTTTGTTTTCAGAAGGGCCAAAATGCCTTGGCGAAACGCCGCGTTTTAGTCTCATGAGCAAGTGCTAGGGCCGCGAAAAAAGGGGCTCCTTCGGTCAGTTCATGGCCGTGATTTATTAGGCACAAACAGAATAATGACTAAAATAGACATGATGTTAAAAGTGTTATGTACAAATCATGTGGTGGTAGTTATAGTGATGAAGTGGAGGTGGTGGTGGTGATGAAGGTGGAGGTGGTGGTGTTGGTTGTGGAGGTGGTGGTGGATGAGGTGGTGGTGGCGGAGGATGAGGAGGAGGAGGATGTGGTGGTGGTGGTGGTGATGATGTTGGTTGTGGAGCTGGTGGTGGATTTGGAGGTTTTGGAGGAGGTGGTGGTTGTGGTGGTGGTGGTGGTGGTTGTTGTGGATGTGGAGGTGGAGGTGAATGAGGAGGTGGTGGTGGAGGATGAGGAGGAGGAGGATGTGGTGGTGGTGGTGGTGGAGGTGGTTGTGAAGGTAGTGAATGTGGTGGTGCAAGTGGTGGAGTTGGATGTGGATGTGGAAGTGGTGGTGGGTGTCGGTGGTTGTGGAGGTAGTGAATGTGGTGGTGCAAGTGGTGGAGTTGGATGCGGATGTGGAAGTGGAGGTGGTGTCATTTTTTAAAATGAATGATGGTATTTTGGGAATTAAAAAAATTCATTAAATGTTCATCTCTAC